TCCCAGCATCCCTCTTTTCAAGTGAAATGGTGAGACCACCGCTCAAATCTTTGACACGGTGCGAGACGTTTTAATCCCAAGGCCGTCTTAGGCCACACGGAAAGGGTTCAGTGCGTTTATTTGGGTCAGATTATATCTGGAAACGCAAGAATATCAAAGTATAGAAGGCATGGCTTACGCATAATGAAAGCAGTTGAGTTCTCTCCAGCAATTCCGAGAAGTTCAGTTGGTAGGGTTCCGAGTAGCGTTTGTTCAGAAGCACCACCGCGCGTCATGGTCGGATCGAGAAGGCTCAAAGGGTCGACACTGGGCGCAGTTCGGCTTGGTGGGGTAGCGAACGGTACTCTGTTGAGCGTGTGCACCTGTGGGGACCTGTGAAGTCCTGCTCCCAAAGTGGCCCGCTCGGACCACTCCGCAGTTTCGCAGTAATTCACTTGTTATTTAAGATGAACCAACAAGAAGGGCTAGCGAAAGTGCAAAATGTCCCTTCTAAGCTGAAAAGCCTCTGAAATTGTCATCAAAGAGAGAAATCTCTCCGAGTTCAGTCAGCAAATATGCCCTAACCTTTGGTCTTCACGTTTGTGATTGAAGCACATGTGTGGCCTCCACTTCAAAAGATAGCTAAGGCAAATTGCTTTCAATATGCTTTTTACAAAGGTTCAACTTTTAGCCAAGATTAACAACTATTTTACAGGGTGACAGGCGGACCTCCTTGGCCAACATCTTCAAAAGCGAAGGCGACAATGCCGAAACGTTGGCCCATGAACATACATGCATATTGAAGACAAAAATTCGTAAAAAGTCAAACTTGGGCAAATCGCTTGAGCTCTTAATGACGCTAACGTAGTTGGGCCAGGGCGGGGTGGGGGACCGCACAGCTGCGCCTCTTATCCCTTCTTGAAAAAAGCCTGAACTCAGAACCCAGACGAAAGAATCCGTCGAGGGATAGTCCCGCCAAGGATAAGCTGTCTCCACTAGGTCCCTTGATTAGGGGAAGGAATACGGAGGTATTGGTGAGTGGTCCAGCAGTTACGCTAGCGTTCCTTCGAAATTTCTGAGTGTTACTTCAAGAAGGTGATGGACGCAGTTCGGCGACGGGGGAGCATTTTGCACTCCGAGCCATCTAGAGAGCTCTTTCATGAGCAAGACAAGGTTGACGGGTTTACCATGGTGGCTAGACGAGCTTGCTCCAGCTTCACAAGAGTTCACAGGTTTCACCAGAGCGGAACTTGTGAACCGGAACTAGTAAAGCAGTGAAGTACAAAATGCCCCTCCCCGTCGCCGAACAGCGCCAAGAAGATGTATATGGGGCAGCCCAGTCACTATCATTCTTTGTCCATGGGAGTTGGTTCATCCACTCTTGAACTCATTCCTGTTGAACTCAGGGGGTGGGGAAAACAATTTCCTTATGCGGATATTCATCCCCTGGCTCCATAGTCTCCGTACCTCTTTATTGAATGTCATCCAACCAAAGAAAAAAACGAAGCGTATAAACGGCTTTGAAACGATGTGCGTAACATTCGGTAGTAGATTTATAGGGCTTTTTGTGCAGTCCTGGGATAGTAATCCTCACAAACCAAATGGCCCCAGAGAGTTCCTCCTTGCAGGAATAGCGCCTTTTTCTGATCACGATTGGGAACCTTATTCGAAGTCCTAATGTTCTTATATAAGCGTGCTAAGGGGGACTCATAAAGGACTCCCGACGCTTACGTAAGTGCCGGTCGCCAGGGTCTCTGTATCCTTCCTCAAGAAGGCTTAGTCTTAGAGCGCAGACGACCAGAGTTGCCGAGGGATAGTCCCGCAGGGAAGACATGAGCCTCATCGCTTGGGAACCTTCATTCGAAGTCCTAATGTTCTTATATAAGCGTGCTAAGGGGGACTCATAAAGGACTCCCGACGCTAACGTAAGTGCCGGTCGCCAGGGTCTCTGTATCCTTCCTCAAAAAGGCTTATCTTAGAGCGCAGACGAGGGATAGTCCCGCAGGGAAGACATGAGCCTCCTAATCATAAGCCTGAGCTTTGACTGGAGTGGATTTGAGGTTGATGGCGATTGGTCGCCCAGTGGCTGGAACATCTTGTGCAGAAGTGAGGTATGCAGTAGATAGCGGTCTGATGGTTTTTTTGCTTGAGCCCAATTGTAAGAGGAAAAGGCTGGGTTTGGGTGGAACCAATGTCTGTGCAAAAACGGGCTTCGCATGACCGTAATTCCAGCTCTGCACACAAGAACCCCTTCAGATTTCCCGTTTAGCCGGCTTATCCTCGATCCTCCTTTCTCTCTCTCCAACACTTATGAATCTTTCAGTTTGCGGCGTGAAAGGCAAAAATCAAAGTTTAGTGAGGAAATGACCTCTGAAATAGAAAGCGCTCGGCCCATTTCACCTCGCCCATAAATGGAAGGACGCAGTGATGTATGCCCGTTAATGGCGCCGTGTGCTCCATATGATTTGACAGGAACAGATTGCAAGCCGGTGGAAACGTTAGAAGGGAGTCCTTTCACGAATTTCTGTTTCCAGTACGGTAATACGGTCGTTGGGGTGGATATCTAAAGGTCAGAGATCTAGCATAGTGCGCGGGGGATTTGACAAGTCCGGGCCGAGGGCGACCCGACTGACTGACACGAACCAAATCGACTCTCTACGAACTGCTGCGAGAGTGTGAGGTCTCGGATAAACCACCCATGCGGAGAGATTGGATTTCGCCATGGCCAAATGTGGAGTGTGCAGATTGGCTGGACGGACGAGACACTATGGACGCAGGCTGTCAGAGCAGTGAAGTCAGTGCACCGATCGTGGAGTGACGAAAGAAGCGCGATGGCAGGCCGGCTAGCGAGCAGCTGCAGTGTGCGTTGTGTGCGGGTTGTCCTCGGCGGCCGATGGCGTGTCAGACCGGCATAAGAGGTTCGTTCCAAGTTTCTTTCCAATTGATACTCTTTACTATACTATTTTTATTTACTACATTAACATGTCTCTTAACTGTTCATGAGTTTTCCCGTTGTTTGTTTCACTTTTGGAAGTCGTTTTCCAAGCCGGCAATGGTTTATTTCGTTTGAAATTGGTTTTAAAGCGTGTTGTTCATACCATTTCTACTTTCCTGATTTCTTGGCACGGTTCCAACTTTTTCCTTTTCATCCTGCCCTTTTGAGCTGTGGAGTCGTTCATCAAACTGCGCAGTAATTCATTAGGTCTGAAAAAGGCTATTTCAGCGTTATCTTAATAAAATTTTGGTGACAGCCGTCTGGCCATAATTTTGGGAAGTTAATTCATCCACCCGGAGCTTTTACCCTTTTAGATTTGGCTACCCGAAGGCATATACCTCATTGGCTTAGGCAAAATTCTCATCCCTGGTCCTTTCACAATCGTTTCATCGCGTTTTCCAGCTTCACTTACCTTTCTTGAACAGCCCGCAGTTACTTCAGTTCATGTTCTTCAACGTTGAATTTTTTTCTGTTAAATCCTTAAAGATTTTTAGGCCCTATCGGGCTTTGTGCGGTCATTTTGCACTTTCTTTCGCTAGTTCCTCTGGTTAGTTCACGTTGAATACCAAGTAGAATACCTATGCTCCTGTGAAGGTGTGACGCCCTCCCCATCTCCGGGATATGGACCCTGTACCCTAACCATAACGAACTCCGAACCGCATGAAACAGTAGATCGATCACGAGTAGTAGACAAAGGGGGTAGGTCTGCATTAAATAGGAAACAGGGCGCTGTACGGCTTGAAGGGGGGAACTTCGCACTTTAACTAGTTCCTTTTCCTAGTTCATGTTAATATTAGGTTCAGTGGAGTTTACAGGTTTAGATCTGTGCACTCCTCTGAAGCTACGCAAAGGCAGGAGTAAGCAAGCTGTGGTCACAGGAATTCACAAGTCTTCACAAGATGGCCTGCGCAAGCTTATCCCAGTACAATTGGATGCCCCCACCAAGCTGAACAGCCCCGTTTTCTTGCTACTGTTCTATTTCCGAAAGTCATCTTCCACTATTGGATAATCAGTAAGGCTAGTCCGAACCCCACCTCGGAGATCCCATATCGCGCGAGGTGGGCGGTGTTGGCTGCTCACTTTAACTGAGAGCGCGGCGGCTTGCACTCTCTGTGAGACTGCCGGTTGTCGGAGCAGTTTGTAAATCACGTCTCGTCCCACACAGAGCACCACTCGACACTCTATTTCAGAATTGCGATCACGACAAGTATGGTACGCTAGCGAAGTACCGCAGCCACGTGCTCCCACTTCGAGGAACTATGAATGTACGTGTGTGAAAATGAAAACTCAAGGTTTTCTCCTTGTTACTTATTATAATGCGCAGTTTTTCGATCGGTTATTTGCTTCTTAAGCAGTTTTGCAGACGATTCTGGTACTATTGCAAGTACGTTTCATAGCCACACAGTGTCCTAGCATGTTTATTGCAACTGGGGGACAGGTTTGAGTGGCTGTTTTTTTTTCGACCATTTGGAGCTCCCCCTGTCATGGTGGGTCGCCTCTATAATCAGACCCGTCCGCACGGCGCGTGTCGCGCGCGTTCCCACTGGCAAATTGCCAGCTGCGTGATTAGAGCGCTCAATGGTACAATCCGCAAACTGTTTCTTGGATACTCGTGAAGTTGCGATCGCGTGACCCTTTTGCTTACTGCTTCCTCATTATTTTAGGATGCACTGGTTTCCCCATTTTCTAGAAATGTACTGAGCAAGGGAAGAAACCATTTATTCAACACAGTTAAAGTTCAAATTCAATTATAAAAAGTAGAATTGAGACCATCGTTACTAATACGATCACAGCCATCTTCAACATGAGCTATTGGTTGAAGTGAAGTTGAATGCGTTGGATTGATTAGGGGGCTTTTCTTTGGTTTCACTGTTTCAAGCACCTGGAATAGATGTATGAATTCATATGCTCCATAACCACAGTAGAAAAAGAAAGTGAAAAGGACTTCACAGCAAATTCACCTACCTTATGCCAACAAAGCGTAAAATAGAGAGTGAACAATAGTGGAAATATTGGCAGCATGTCTTCAGTTTTGATCATCATTATCCTTATCGGCATCGCGTAGCCTTCTATATTCCGCTCGCTGAAGATAAACGTTTAATAACAGCAACTATTAATGAATCCAACGGTCCTACCGTGTACAGCTTTTTCTCCTGCTTTGGCTTCGGTCCCTCTCCTGTGTGCCTTGGTCGGATCGCAATCTGCGAGGAGCTGCCTACACAAATTTGAGATGCTCTTTCGATGAGATCAGCGATTTCCTTCACTTTTTCCTTAGCTTCGTCCGTACCTTCCTTCACAAGGACATTGACGTTACTGGAGACCACAGAATACGGCTGAAACACGTACATTTGACCCACCTAAAACTTCATTTCAAGAAACTTACTAGTTGTATTCTGTTCCTTAGCGACTTTCTTTCGTCCAGTCGTTCCTGGGACGATACGAATGGGTCACTAGAAACAGGCATAACGTTTTCCTTCGCAGCTGATGATGCTGGTTCTTCCTCATCCTGCTCGTGGACAACCGCAGGAACATTTAGATTATCTTCAAATAATTTCACTGCGTGTCTGTGAATGCATGAAATTCCTGTCCTGTTGTCGAGGCATGTGCAACGTCCACGAATACGGGCAAACGCCGCAGAAGGAGCAGTGAACGTTGCCCTCAGTCCACGATCCGCACTCACACGAGCCACGATTCTCGACAATGTAAGTGACTTGTGGTGTCTTTCCTTGCACTTCCCATTTTTGCATTGTTATCCTTCTGATTTTCTCCATCTTCCCTTCATAATGAGTTAGGGCAGAGCGATGGCGTGCCGTCGTCTGCTGCGTTCGAAACGATGCTGTAGCAAGTCTTCGTCTGTCCTGAATGCATAAAACATTGAACGAAGGCATAGCCAATCAAATACTTTCTGAATGATACCATGATGTCATTGGATTCCGCCAAGTCTTCTACTGCCCTTATTAGCAACTCAACAAGGAAATCCACTCGTGTATTGGCATTTCTAAGGAGAATTTCGTACTTCAAGCATAGATGCCAGCGTTCACTAGGCATAGTGGTGTTCATAACCGCTCCGGGATTACTGAACGATGCCCAGCTTGTTGTCCTGCCTGAAAATGAAAAGGTAAAGTGAGAAGCGAGTCTATCACAATTAATCTGCTTACCTAAGTAATTAGTTCGCAGGTACTGTGCCATTTGTTGTTGCCCTTCGTCCTAAAGTAGAGCCAAGATCCCCCAAACTTCCTCTCGAAAGGCCCTAACTCACCAATTCGCAACAATTCGTTGAGCTCTTTCTTGACGCGTGCGCGAAGGCGGGCCTGACAGGAGTTCATTTGAACATGAACTTTTACAATGTTGAAGAACTAGAACTGCTTCTTACCTCTACTAGTTCTTTGATATTTCTCTCCCACGTTCTAATTATGTGCTACTGACAGTAAAGGCCTCCTGTTCGAGCAAGAGAAAACAGCGAAAAATCCTTTATTAAAGCACGGTGCCTCATGAGTGACAAAATGATTAGGGTTGGAGTCCGGAATTAGTTTCTTTATTTCTTCAAATAGTTTTTGAACACCACCGGAGGTCATTGTGCCACTTAGGAGAAACGCTGGAATTTGCGGGATTAGAATCTTTTGCTAGCTGCACTACAACTACTTTCTCAACAACTGACCGGCTGGTAACCCTCTGTCACGTTCATCCAATACAATTACTGTGGCCAAGCTTCAGGTCACAACCTTGTAGCACCATGCGTGTCGTCCATTGAGATTCCGCGATGCGAATACTGTCTCAGCCATTCCTGTTGAGTCGGGGTTACGATTCACTGGAATATACAAATGTCGTTCTCTATTAATACTGTCTTTTACCACATTCTTACCCAGAGTGAATCCTCTTCCGCTTGGGTCCTCTGGCATTTCGAAGAGTTTTAGCCCGTCATCAGGGTTCTTTTCGACCACTCGCATTTCGAGGGAAGTCAAATCATTGCTGTCGCGTTGACCTGGCCTCATGCCGTGCTGCTCAATAATGTTCCAGAGATCAGATCTTGTCACGAAATGAAGTCTGGACGTTCCCGCCAAAATTCTTTTCTTAGATGACGGATGATGTAATCCAGTGAGTGATTTGAACTTTCATACGCACCTGGATGCAGCGATGCATTTAGAGTTGCGTTTATACTTTGCGGCATATACATCCTTACCTTGCCACTGCTGCTGGCGAACGCTGGAAACGCTAGCTTTTGCTAGCGTACGGCGGCGCACGCTGCCGCGAACTATAAACGCAGCCTAAGGCAGCGTTCATAGTTCGCGATCGCCGGCGATCGCCAGTAGGAGGACCAGCTCGCCCCAACACAACTAGATGGACGGATTGAAAAACTTGTTGGAAAGGTATTTTCATGCGGTTTTTTCTTCCTTCCGCCTTCCAGAAGACCCCATTTTTCTCTCTCTTTCCTTTTTTCACTATTTCGGCAATTCCCCGTGGGGTGTGTCATTAGGTCCGCTCTGGGGCACTACGTCCCACTCTGTTATTATGTTCGCCGCCACACCCTCTTTCATATCCTACAAGCCCCGCCCCTGGCTCCGCCTACTTCTCTTTAAAATTTCATTTCTTCCCCAAAATTTTTCTACGACATCTCCGGCCCACCCCGAGCATTCTGGCAGGGTGTGTCATTAGGTCCGCGCGGGGCACTACGTCTCTTCATGGGGCATTATGTCTCTCTGTGTCCGCCACCACGCCCCCTTCCACCACGCTCCTCAGGGCACTACCAGGCTAGGTGTGTCATTAGGTCCGCGCGGGGCACTACGTCTCTTCATGGGGCATTATGTCTCTCTGTGTCCGCCGCCACGCCCCCTTCCACCACGCTCCTCAGGGCACTACCAGGCTAGGTGTGTCATTAGGTCCGCGCGGGGCACTACGTCTCTTCATGGGGCATTATGTCTCTCTGTGTCCCCCGCCACGCCCCCTTCCACCACGCTCCTCGGGCTGTGAATGAAAATTTTAGGAGAAGCAGGGCGTGTCGAGGCGGGCTGGGCTGACATAGAGAATGGGACGTGGCGGGGAACACGGTGGGACATAATGCCCCAGCGCGGACCTAATGACACACCCTGCCAGAATGCTCGGGGTGGGCCGGAGATGTCGTAGAAAAATTTTGGGGAAGAAATGAAATTTTAAAGAGAAGTAGGCGGAGCCAGGGGCGGGGCTTGTAGGATATGAAAGAGGGTGTGGCGGCGAACATAATAACAGAGTGGGACGTAGTGCCCCAGAGCGGACCTAATGACACACCCCACGGGGAATTGCCGAAATAGTGAAAAAAAGGAAAGAGAGAAAAATGGGGTCTTCTGCGATGCAGGCGGAAGAAAAAAACCGCATGAAAATACCTTTCCAACAAGTTTTTCAATCCGTCCATCTAGTTGTGTTGGGGCGAGCTGGTCCTCCTACTGGCGATCGCCAGCGATCGCGAACTATGAACGCTGCCTAACAGTTGGGAAGAACCAAATATACCTTCTAACAGGAGTTTCAAGTAGGCTTTCTGGGCTTCTGAAAGGCGAAGAAGTGCTGGTTCGACGTCATGTCCTACGTGGCCAAAGCATCCCTTCATGGTCACACTGCCGTCATCATTCACAGCGTAATTTACGAAACAGGAGCAATGCGAGACGTCTTCCTACTAGATGATGCCCGTATGCGGCCCTCACTTGAAAACTTTCCCGCTCGGTTGCACCTATAGAAAATTATACATTCAAAACATTGAACCCTTTTATGCAATCCTAACGATACCTCAATTTGTATGTTTTCCCCTTAGTGGTAAACTTATACAGCGTGCTCACCGTTATTTCGCATTGCTCTTGTAGCCATTTCTAAGCAAGTGAAAAGTGAGAAACAGAGTGGATCGAAACAATGAAAGAAAAAAAACTGACTTTCGCAGTCTTATGGCAAGAACGTAAGTAATTAGAATAAAAGACATCAAATGTAAAAGCAAAAAAAATCTTAATCCGTACCTCAAATTCATCCTTTGATGCGAAAGTCAAGGTATGAACAGTATAGTCCTGCTCTCTACCATTTGCACCATCACAAGTGTGTAAGTCATCATAGTGATTTGCAAGGCTTTCATGTCGATGAACTTCTGTTCACATATGGAACAGGGAAACTTGCGATGTCTCTCTTTCACGTTCGTCTTTCATACGATCAATTTCATCTTGAGCGTAGTTGTGTACCCTTGTCATGTGCCTATACAGTTCTCTTCGAAGTACCCACGAACTGCAAACATCACAGGATACTTTCTCGTTCCTTTTTGGTGGCATGGCCTGCAACAACAAAACTGATAGGTCAGCAGTATAACAGGGGAATTACTCCATGCAATAGAGTGGCGCTAAATCAAGATGTTGAAACACTATAGATAGGAGAAGTGAGTCAAATGGAGTATAAGAACTTCTCGAAATTTGCAAGTTGAGGAAGAGCTAAGGCAATCAAAGAGCGTTGTGACGGGACTACAGTCAGACTGCTGCATGTGGGGATCATGTTGAGACTGCTTACATGGGTATCAGGTTGATGTGATGAAATAGGCTGAAGAAACCACGTGATCGGGATGTAAGGATGATAGGATGTTGAAATCTGTTGTTTGGTAATTCTAGGAACTGCAGACTGTAGAGTTTATAGCAATAGACTTGAAACAGCCTGTATAAACTTACCTCCATTGCTGAAGGAAGAAGGCTTGGATAGGTGGAAGCATTTCTGGACGGCGACAGGTAACAGGATAACACATGCAGACAGAAGCTGATCAACGCACGCTTGGATCAGATATGTCTCTCTCTGGAACGCACCTGAAAAGACGAAAATGCTGCTAAAATTGTGATAAAAGGTTCAATTCCCCTTCATTTCCAGCATAGATGGCAAGTTTGAGCTGAAACTGTGCGTAGAACTACTTATCTAGTTCAATTCCCCTTCATTTCCAGCATAGATGGCAAGTTTGAGCTGAAACTGTGCGTAGAACTACTTATCTAGTTCAATTCCCCTTCATTTCCAGCATAGATGGCAAGTTTGAGCTGAAACTGTGCGTAGAACTACTTATCTAGTTCAATTCCCCTTCATTTCCAGCATAGATGGCAAGTTTGAGCTGAAACTGTGCGTAGAACTACTTATCTAGTTCAATTCCCCTTCATTTCCAGCATAGATGGCAAGTTTGAGCTGAAACTGTGCGTAGAACTACACATCCAGTTCAATTCCCCTTCATTTCCAGCATAGATGTCAAGTTTGAGCTGAAATGCTGCCGTAGAACAACAGTCAGGCAAATTTCACTCGATACATCAGTCTCCGACGCCTAGAACCTGAACTCATGACTGTTTTAGCATCCGGAATTAGTAATAACTCTCTCTTTCAATTCAGAACACTTGCCCCTTCGACTTCAATCCCCCTAGATCCGCATCCTCACGTGTGGAATGCATTGCGGCTCGAAACCACCAACGCAGCCGCAGCTGGCAATTTGCCAGTGGAACCCGCGCAGCAACACGCGCCTGCGACCGGTCTCTGATTATAGAGGCGATCCCTTTCTAGGTTCGGGGGTATAACCAAACTCCATTTCGCTGGTGAAGCTCTTTTTTGTTTTGTTTTTATTGTTTCAATTTATGCATGCGCCTCAGGAATTCCTATCGTCTAAGTTGCTCCAACTTCCAAAACATTCATAGTTTACAAGTCGAGTTCAAACAACGAAGAAAAAAAAGAAACAGAAAGAAACTCTCCTAGGAACCAAAGCACTAATCATTTTACGCGACATCAAGAGGTGAAAACTTCATAAACCTCATGTACAACCTCGACGAATGAAAAAAGAAGCAATAAAAACGTACGTCAAGTGAAGCTCTGGCGCTTTTTGCTCATTTCTATCCTAAATAATAAAGAAAATAGAAAACAAAAAGCGAATCAGCTGGCTCAGCCTCCTTGTGTCAAACCAAGCTTCAGTACCTAAGGAAATTGCAGTCAAAGGAAAAAAAGCATAAAATTGAGCCGCTTACCCCCAGAAGCCTTCGGAGCGCAAGTAATAGCGTTGGGGCGCGCGCTGCCATGCACCGACGATCGCCGCGATCGCCGGCGATCGCGGCGATCGCTGGCGATCGCGGCGATCGCGGCGATCGCGGCGATCGCTGGCGATCACGGCGATCGCGGCGATCGCCGGCGATCGCATGGCGATCGCCGGCGATCGCCGCTGCTGTCGCGATACTATGAAACGCTGGCCTGAATGCTCAAGTGTTTTGTGCACAGCCCCTGTATGTATCTAAACGAAGATGGAAGAACGATTTGGTCATCATCCCTAAAATCAATCCAGGGTTTATTTATTTATTTGAATGTACGTCGGTCATCAGTATTTCCAAAAAACTAGAAGAAACAAGAAGGGCTTAGACTCATCAAACTGGGCACTAAGAAATCGGTGGAAAAAGCTATTCAGTGATTGGACGAATGATTAAACATTTGAGGAAGCGCTTCAAGACGCAAGGCCTAGTGGGCTACATCTGCGGGTAACCGCGAAGAAAGAAAGAAAAATCTGGAGACGCACCACCCAATTGTTAATCAATATTTGAAAAAAAGCACATCTTAGTGCGTGATGTTAGGGATGATGACATCACTGACAACGGGCTCTGCTAACGGCAGTCAAACCTGGCAACGCAGATTTTCGGTGTTAGGTATTGCCCTAAAACCCCTAACAGTCTGACTCCAGGTCCACCAGGTAAGGAAAAGAGTAGTTAAGTCAGCCAGTGGGTAGGCTGCATATCGTGGTTCAATAGTGTTTGCAGCCAGCACACTTTTTTCAATGTACTAGGTTGAGCTAACGAGCCGGCCTTAGATACAACGAAAGCTCTCGCTACTTAGCCACCTTTTACCTAGCGCACCGACTCTGTACGTTGAGCAAGAACATACTTCAGCTTTGGTGCTGTCCAGCTTTGAACGATGTTAAGTTGAGCAAGAACATACTTCACCTTTGAAGCTGTAGAGCTTTGAACAAGAAGTCTAGCGCTATATCGAGAAGCTCAGCATACTCGTTCCTCTTCCCACATTGGCACTGTCCTCTTGCTCTGTTTTCCCGCCATTTTTTGTCACCAAAAGACTTATCTGATTTTGAGCGCTGCCCTTCTTCTCTTCAGATTTATGCAGCTATTGGGACCGGGTGCGAATACTCCGTAGGTTACCTGATCTCAAGCGCCTATTTCGCCACACTCACCACAACTCAGAATCTACGCTACACACCCGAGATTGATCTTTATGGTGCACTAAAGCTGTACTAGGTAGGGTAGGTAGGGTAGGCCATTATGGTAATACGAACTACTTTCTTAACATCTTTTCCTCGACATTTTTTCCCGAAAGACACATTTTTGCTTCAAGGTACAGCGTACAGTCCGCTGAAATGTTCTTTATCACAATAGCACATTTATAGCGAACAATAAAAAGGGCGAAAGCTACACCCGTCACGAAAATTCCCAAGCTAATCTTGCAGTGACAAACTAAACAATAGAAATTAATGACTATACGTGCATAAGATGTGATCACATACAAATCACAGAAGACTCAGTACATAAAACGATAAGGGTAATTACAGAGGAACCCGGTCACTTGCGAATAAAACGGTAGAGAATGCGAGTAAAACAAGACATGCAGCAGGCGGCAGGTAGCGAATCCAATAAGGAAAACTATGGTGTGTATGAGACAGAGACACACAAGCAGGGTCAAGCATCACGTTGAGGAAAATTGCCCTGTCGATGCGAGCCCCCACCC